TAGCACATATCTCTAATTTTGAAATATTTTGTATCTTTGGTGAAGACTTTATATCCGTCTGCTAGGGATAACAATAGTTTTCTTCAATTACAACACTGGTTTTGTTCATTAATTGAAATAAAATTTATCCTGCTAATTCACTTCTAAAGGACTAATCCACAATATAAATTAATGACAAAAAAGTTTATGTAAAAAAAAATATAGAGCAGTATAAATGAAAACCTGGTTTTTTAAATCTTAACTCTAAGACTAGTGAGTAGACATGGCAACCATTTCAGGTCTTATAACTCAATAGCAAATACTAACATGGAAAGTTTGGATGTTTTTACTAACACTACATGACAATTAGGATGATTTCATATATGCAGGATCTAAGTCGGTGGGAGATGATTATCAGCACCAAGATACCAATATTTTGCTATGCTAATGAACTAAGGTTTGATTTGCAACATATTAAAAAATTACCAAATGGTTTCCAATGGGTAGAATATGAATGAGGTACAATGCATATATGTTCTAGGCAGAGAACAACTGGTTTCTAATGACCTTGTTTAACAACTGCCTCAGACAGTAACTGTTCACAGTTATGACAGTGATAAAAAAGTAACTTTGTCACCAATGTCTTCATCTATGAATAAAAATATATGAAAAAGAGACTTTGCAGTATCTCTCTATCATGTGTTTGTCATTAAAATCGGCTCAGATGTGTTGCCCTATGCCTGACCTGTTTTCTTTCCCCATCCCACCTCTTTGAAGAGATTGCCTAAAAATGCTCCTTCTTCCTGTGTTGCTTTTCTCTGCAGTGTAGCTCTTTCCTGAAAGGTGCTAACTGCAAGTTAACAACCTCAGCTCTGTGACCTTAATTAGTTGATTAGAACCCTCCTGCTGCCTGTCTCTGACAAGAATGTAATCAATTTCACAATGAAGGCTTTTTGGCTCCTAAGCAGCTCACAGCCCCAAATGTGCAGTGGGTGCTTACTCACTAATAGTTTTTTCCTCTCCACTGAGTGTAAATGCAAACATTAATTTCCTTCTTGCTAATTATTCTAGCATTGGGAGAATATTCCAAAGGGTGGGGGAGTGGAAAAAAAGACTATTAGATTTGCCATTTTACTGGGCTTCTTTGTGTGTGAACATTGTTCGCTGTTGGGACTTGCCCCATTGTTTGGAGCCATATCCCTCTGATGCCGTAAAGCAATGGAAAGCTGAAGTAAAATCATAAGCACAGTTGCAGTCATGTGATTTGTCATTTAGCGAGCACTTCATGTAATGGACAAGCTGTTTATCCTAACTGCAGTTGCTAAATGAGGATTACCTGCATTTGATAAGTTGCTTTAAAAGTTTATAGAAAAAGAAAAACAATACCTTTTTCTATATACTTGGAACAAAAATATATTTAGGAATACTACTGCTGATCACATTGCTTAGCCCTTGAATAATTGTGTCAGCATTGTTTTGTATCATTTAAAAAATCAAGGTAAGGACCAGGTTACGGCAAGATTGTCTATGTTGTTGCTAAATTGGCACTGACATGATAGAACATAATGAATCAATTTACCTTTCTAATTAGATGGTTTTCTGTATCTGCTACATAAATAATATTGTTCTTTATGGCAACTCCTTGTGGAGAATTGAATGATGCTTCTGAAAAATTTCCATCATTTCTTCCTCTGTCTGATCCTTGAGCAAAAATAACATCAAACAAGAATATAACTTTTGCTAGAGGTCAACAATGGATACACAGTCATGTCAGATATAGGATGCAAAGGATTTTATATTATATTAATAAGAATAGCAGTACAGCTGTGGGTCTAATCAAATCAAATTTAATAAATATATTTAATATATTTCCACAGAAAACTGTGGAGATTGTCTTACAAAAGTAGAATGTTTAAATTTATACAATGCCTGGTAATATAATCTGTTAATCTTTAAACATTAATAGACAAACAAACACATTCATTGTATCTACAATAATTTCCTTTAAAGATTCAGCTTTCAAAACAAGGAATTGTATAAGTGCAATGCAAAATGGAATGGAATGCCTAGGAAAACATGCAGCCAGCTATATGCTAGAATAAGTAATTGAATTTCATAGATTCTACTGTTCACATTATTTGCAGTATATCAGCTTCAAGTCTGAAAAATGTGGTATCATTTCCATGATTTTGTGTGGTTATTAGATCTCAGAATTAGATAATCATTTATTTGAAGCTCAATCCATATACATTCAAAGAAGCATTTTATAGGACTGGAAACTAATTTTAAAATAGTTTATTATGCAATATTAAAGAGTTGTAGAAGACAGAATTCAGGGTTTGCCATGAGAGCTGTCAAGATAAAATGCAAGGTTTTAAAATAATTATTTTATTTCAATCATTAATCAACAAAACAAAACAATAAAGTATAAGGTTTTAAAATATATTTAGATGACCCTTACCTCCAATGATGTGCAGAATGTGACCATTTTTTTTCACAACCAAAATCCTATGATGTCCAGTATCTGCTATTACCAATGTGTTTTCGGAACTATCTACTGCAATTTTCCCAGGGAACAGCAAAGGTGAAGAAGACAAAGAGTCTCTATATAGTTGTGTTCTAATTCTATTACTATTAATTTGTCCTTGTTCCTTGTAGTATTTTAAGGCTATAGTTGTAAATAGAAATAGTTTGTCCTTGTGCCCTTCGCCAATCAGACTGAACAAGATATTGCCACGAGGTCCAACAATTACCAAAGTTGGCCAACAAGACACTTCTAGCTCATGCCAGAGGGTTGCATTAACATCATTTACCACAGGATGAGTGATGTTATATCTAAGAACAGCACTTTTGATGTTATCCAAAACTTTTTCATTTGGAAATTTTGCTGAGTGAACACCTATAATAAGGACACCATCTGAAAGCATAGATTAAGAAACAATGAGATTTATGGCATTAACAATGAAACATTTAAACATCATATACACAAAGCCACATTCAATAAACCTAGTTGGAATGCTGCTCTGTTCTGGGATAAGATAAATAGTTATACTATGCATGTTGTCTTCAGAAAGAGTGAACATGTAGAACTTCACTGTAGAAATATATAAGATTGTAATACCAGTAGTATAAAATGTGGTAGATCAAAATGGATCAAAATGCAGTTCTTCCCTGTTGGACTGACTCCTCTAATTCTAATAGATAACTTTTCCTCACCCTGGAAACAAGATAATATAGCATAAGCTGACTTCATATGGGTTATCTCTACTACAGTATTCTTAATATGTTATAATCAAAGTAAGCAATTAATTATTCAAAGAATGAGGGACATGGAATTCCAGATGGAAATTAATAGGCTATTCCAATATAATAGAATTTAAAACTAGACTCGACATATTTATATCTGCATTTCTATAAGGCAGATAGAGTAAAGTCTAGATAGAGTCCCTGTAGCTAAGCGTATTTGCCCATGTGGGGATAGGGACTGTAATTTTCTCAGACTTATTATTACATTGTAAATTGTATAGGGTCAACCTACATTTGTAAATGGAAAGGCAAAACTGTCCATTTTTTCATATGAGTCATCATTTAGAAGTATATGAAAATATTCTTTAGAATGCTGTAGACTATTTAGGAGAGGGTAGTACCACTTTGATATTTTCATATGAACTGTCAAGAAAGGCATCCAATACTTTAGAATAATTTTCTTGAGTTAAATTGACTTATAACACCATTTTATCTAGCTTAATGCTGTCTATCTTGAAGGCAATGAAAACTTTAAGTTTCATACACAAGTTTTTTCTACTCATACTGACGAATTAAACATGGTGTTTTTGCATGTAAAACAAAGAGCTTCCCAATGGTATTCACAGAGGCTGGTGGTGTCAAAAGAGCAAGATGAAAGTATTCTCTTCAAAGTGGTACCTTTGTTGTATATTTTGATGTTGCATACACATACCAAGGAATAGGGCCATAACTGTAATGCCTCAGCTGCCATCCTGCCCCACCCTGCCTCTCAAACCCATTGCTCTATTACTGAGCTATCACTTTTCCCTTCATCACAGAAACAGTACTGTAGTGACGTTCAGTGAGATGAACAATGAAATCTATAGAAACAGACTTTTGTAATGGAGACAAAAGACAAATTGACTTAGCCAAGATTTGGCGCCTATAATTGTTTTAGTTCTGTTTAATTATAATTCTGGTTTTTTAAATCTTTATTTTTATAATTGCTAACTGCCTCAAATAATTTGGAAGGAAAACCCGGATGTATTTCTAACAAACAAATGTATCTTTTCTTGCTTTTTCTTTAAATATGTAACAGCACTTAGGGTTGGATTGCCCCCCCCCCCCAACATATTCTATGGGTAATGCAGAAGAGATCAAGGACTGTCCTAACAGATTTCTAAAATTCATAATAAAACATTAAAATGAGAAAGCCCAAACCTACCGCATCAGCATCAAGAAACCTCATTAAGAGAAAGCAACAAATAAAACTTGGAGTCTGGCTTAAACACTGAACATATTATAACACACCTTTATGGTGATTAACACACTGGACAGCTTATACAATCAACTTCAAAATGACCCCCTACTGTACTTTTTTAAATTAAATTTTGCAAACCAGAAGACTGGATAGCAAAACTGGACAGTTCAGCGGGATGTCTGAGGNATTAAGAGAAAGCAACAAATAAAACTTGGAGTCTGGCTTAAACACTGAACATATTATAACACACCTTTATGGTGATTAACACACTGGACAGCTTATACAATCAACTTCAAAATGACCCCCTACTGTACTTTTTTAAATTAAATTTTGCAAACCAGAAGACTGGATAGCAAAACTGGACAGTTCAGCGGGATGTCTGAGGCTATGATTCTTTGTCTTGTCTCCCAAAGTTATTCCGCAGCCCGCTTTACAAGACAGGATGAGACAGATACAGAGAGCAACTGTTATAATTCCCTTCTGAGAAAAAGAAGTCACAGAAATCTTGTTCATCTTTCTATTATGCAGAGTTGACACAATATCACCATAAATAACTTTCTGTTCTGTTAAGAGACAGAATCCTAGATCAAAAGAACTGAGGAAATGATAGGTCTGATTTCAGTATCCTTTCCCACATGCTTAAGTGACTTTTATATTGTATTTAATTGAATTTATTACCCAGTAGAACAAATGCTTTTAATAGTTTATTTGGTTTGAATTCAACTGCATTGTTTCTGCTATAAAAAATGATCTGATAAAGTAGAGTATCAAGGGTACTGCAATAAATAATAAAACATTTCATTCAATATCTTTTCATTTAAGTTTAGAATAAGAGTTCAAAACGTTATACAAGGATTTAATAGGAATAAGGATAATGTTGCACTCTGCTTATCATTTTGAAGACATGCAGAAGTCTGCAAGAGTTTCTAAATTATTCTTCCTTCCTCTCCCTATTTTAAGAATTGAAGATAAGTAGCATAATTAATGCAGAGACTGGACTCCTAGAGCTGCTACTATCTGTACTGTATAAATAGAATTTAGTCTTACTGCATAAGTGAGAGTTGTTATTATTATATTAGTTTCCTTTTGCTAAATAGCCAAAAGTGATGCTATTTGGTTAGAGTACATGTGCACTGAAATGAAGAAATAATAGCAATAGCACTTAAGACTTATTTATTGCTTCATAAATATTTACAGCCCTCTGTTAAGTGGTTTACAGAGTCAGCATATTTTTCCCAACAATCTGGGTCCTCATTTTACCAACCTCGGAAGGACGGAAGGCTGAGTCAACCATAAGCAGGTCAGAATTGAACTGCTGGCAGTCGGCAGAGTTAGCCTGCAATACTGCATCGTAATCACTGCACCACTATAATAACATAATAACAATGACACTAAATATATCTATTAAAATCTGCAACAGAAATGGCAATGAGATATCACAAAAGACCAAATTTTATCATTTCTATGAATAAGAATGCAACAGAAAACGTAGCATGTCATTAATCAATATGCAATACATTCATGTCTTAAACTGCTACCATATTAATATAATTTTGCTACTGAAATGGAATCTGCTAGATCTATCTCTATTTCTCCTGCTCGTAATTTCATCTGAAAGGTAAGGAAAACTTCACAATTGTTTCAATGCATAGTGAAGCAATAGACCAAAAAAGAGAATGAAGGAAAAATCATGTTGTGTGTTCTGATTTTGTATAGGCAATAATTCAGACACTAACAATTTGTATTTAGGCAAATCAATTTGAATAGAATAATATGTTTTCTATTTAAAAAGAAAAGTAAGCTATATTTTAAGACAATTTCATTGACAACAAAGAGAAAAGAGTAAAATACTGCACAGCAAAATTCTAGAACCAGGCTAGATTTAAAACTGCTTTGAAAAAGAACTGGCTCTATCCCAAAGTATTTCTGTCAAGAAGCAGTTCTTCATACAGCAGTCCAACAGGTCATTTCCAGACTATCGATGTGATAAGAATGTGCATTAGGTTTTAAAATAACCTTGTGAATACCATTATGAACACAGAAATAGCCCTAGCAAGGATAAGACAGGAAAGCATTAGACAAATGTTGTTGGCATTAATTCCTGTGGATTTGATACATGTATTAATATAGACTTACAGTTTTTAGGTATGCATAATAGTTAAAAATATGCACTAACATTGACAATGCCACGAAACAATTCTTTGCATTTAAGCATCTTCTATAATATTGGTATTGAATTTGAAACAACTATATTTGGAGAAACAATATGTCATTTTGTAAAATGTGTATTTCAGGGCATAGCAATTTGTGCTTGTTCTCTTAGACCAGTGGTTCTCAACCTTTTTAATGCCGCGACCCCAACCGGTCGTAAGTCGAGGACTAAACCGGTCATAAGTCGAGGACTAAACCGGTCATAAGTCGAGGACTACCCAACCGGTCGTAAGTCGAAGACTTTCCCTGCCCGGGAGTGCCGCGCATGCGTGGTTCCGCCCCCTGCGCTGGCCGAGGCGTAGCTGGCAAGCAGCAGAGACGGAGCAGGCCGACAACCAGCTGGCCCAGCCCAAGGGAGGTAAGGCACCCGCCGGAAAAGGGAAAAAAAATGGCGGACAAAAAAAATGGCGGACAGCCTTGCTTGGCGACCCCCATGAAATGGTCGATCGACCCCAAATGGGGTCCCGACCCACAGGTTGAGAACCACTGTCTTAGACATTTTTCAAACTTCCTGCAATAACAAAGTGCTAGATAATAATAGAATACTAGAATGCACAAGCCACCCAACGAAATTTCCATGTATTGCCTAAATTTTCATCTTTAAAAGGATAGGAATTTTTTTTTTTTTGCAAATTAGAATACAATTATATTTATGTATAGTTCCCATCTTCATTGTTAAAGGATTTAGAAAGGAAGGACCGGCTAAGGAAGGAGGGACAAATTTTCAGTAGCTGATTGTTGGTACATGAAGGAAGATAAGGTTGGGGCATCAAGCTGGCTCTAGCTCATGAATGTGGAGTGTACTGTAGTAAAATGAGAGGCAGAGTCTAAAGAAAGGAATCAGCCTAGAGTTGTTTTGTTCCCACAGTCAAAGTCCAATCCCTCTTGAAATCTGTTATCTATCTTTGAACAAAGTATTGACTGGTTAATACCTTTATCAGAGTACTTCTCCTCTAAATCATGAAGATCAGGCAAAATATGGATGCAATTGATGCAGCAGTAGGTGAAGAAATCTAATACCACTACTTTTCCACAAAGATGTTCGTATAAAGAAAGTGAGCCTTCAGTATTCAGCCATTGTAAATCTGAAATCAAAGCTCTAATTAGTACATTATTTTAAGACGTTAAAAGAATTAAGCACATTCTGAAATAACAATTGATGATCATATTTTAAAAAAAATCATGGATTTCTAACACAAAAATATTCTTAATATTCAAAATCTGTAATTCTTCATAACAGAGTTTGTCAATTAGATTTTTATATGACAAATAGTAAGACTGGTAAATTATCTATTGTTTCCTATTTTATTTTGATAAGTTAAATTACAATTTTATCATATTAAAAAACTTCTCTTTTTCTTAAATAAATGTTTCAAGTATTAATGGTTTAAAGATTAATATTTAGTATCGTGTCTACTGTATACAATGTTGTTATAGCATGTTTTGTTTTCCTATCTGCTTCATCAACTATTATTCAATACAGTATATGAGATTAGGCACAGAACTATCATTAGCACCTTTGTTGAAACAACAAAAGAAGTCTCAAGCATTTTCAAAAAAATTTTTTTTTTAAAATACATGCAATAAGCTTTTTTCAATACAAAGGAAGTATACTGAAATGATTTCAATGTTTAGAGAAAAAAATATGAGGAGTGAATTACAAAACAATATATGAAAGAAGAGTGAATGATTGAGATGAAGGGGGAGACTTTAAAAAGAGGTGGCTTGATGGAGTTGATGCATTATTCAGAGAAAGATAGTAGAAAAATTTAAAGCACAGGTAATGTGTAAAGCAATAAAATAGAAGCAAGGATGATTTGTGAGTAGAAATTTTTATGCAAATAGTAAATTATATCTGCTTTGCTTGACCCTTTCCTACTGCTGAAACTATTGCTTTTCTCTCAATGTGTAGAAGATCAAACAGCTAACTCTCTTGAAATTTCCATTCTCTCCAATCTCTCCATCCTGTGATGAGGATGGGGAGAAAAAACCAAGCAATTTTGTAGGCAATGTCTCCTTTGCTTGATCCTTTCCTGCTGCCGGTGCAATTACATTACTCTTGATGTATATAAAATCAAACATCTTACATGTAATTCTTAATTTATGACAGCCATTGTGATTGCCTTTACTAAGTGATGCGATCAAAAAACGGAGCATTACATGACTACATTGCTTATTGATGGCAATCCAGGCAGTTGTAGTTGTTATCATAATACCAAAACATGTGGGTCATTAAGTGGAAAGTGAAGAAGGTTCCAGAGAAGGAGTATGAGGGTGCCACTTGGGGGCAGGAGACCCTGGGAGGCTCAGTGCAGGCTGTGTTCAAGTTGGGGAGGAAAGCTCAGAAAGGCTGGGAAAGAGGATGTGTAGCGCATGAAAGTATGAGTGCAAGACAGGGAGATTAGAGAAAAGGGTGTGGAAGTTGAGCATACGTGCAAGTGCAAGGAGGCCAGGGAAGAGTGTGCTAGTGGGTACAAACCAGCAAAGAATGGCTGGCGGTGGGGGAGAAGAGACTTACCCAAGGATTTGTAACCTTCTCTACTGGCTTACCCTTTGACTTTGTTGTGAGAAACCAGCCCAAATGTAAGTGTAAGCTGCTTGCCAACACCCGAATTTTTTTCACATGACTGCAGGGGTGCTGCCACAGATGCAACTTTGAGGGCCGGTCATAAGCCTCTTCATTCAGTACCGTCATAATTTCAAACAGTCATTGAATGCATGGTCATAACTTGAGGACTACTTGTACTCTCTTAAAATCTCTTCCTCTCTAATCTCTCCATTCTGGGAAAGGGGACAAGGATGGGTCAGGCAAGGGAGAAATTTTCCAGATAAATTGCTTTGTTTCACCTCTTCTTGCAGAGAGAAGAGATTAAAGAGATTTCAAGAGAGTACTATAATCTGTTTCCATAATGCACCTGTGGGTCTCAGGGTGATGGTGTGATTACATTGATTTCACTATGTATAAAAGCAAACAATTTATTCTCTTGAAATCTCTTTCTCTCCTATCTCTGCTTGGTGTGTGTGTCAAAAGTGATTTCAGTAAGAAATCTCTCTTTTACCTGACCTTTTCCCCATCCAAGAAAAGAGCAGAGAGATTGGAGAGGAAGAGTATAGGTATCTGCATTTGTATAGGATTTCCTGCCTGAGCAGGGGGTTCAACTAGATGACCTTCAAGGTCCCTTCCAACTTTATTATTATTATTATTATTATTATTATTATTATTATTGTTGTTGTTGTTGTTGTTGTTGTTGTTATTATAAGATTACAAGAGAGAAAGTTGTTTGCTCACACACACATTTGAAGCAATGAAGAAATAACTTTCATTCCCCCCTCACCTGCAGAGCTTAGAAATTAAAAAGAAAGGGATATCAAAAGAATAAGATTTTGTGTAGTGAGCCCTTGGTTCCTAGCCCAGCCTGCTAACTTGATCGCGTTGCTTTTTATGTGCACAAGACACTAAACAGGTACTCAATATTCCAAAGGGTGGGGGAATAGTTGAGGCAACAAAAGACAAAGGTGTAAAACTCTGTAGTCTTTTCTCTTTCCAGCCCATAAAACATAGTTTGTCAAATTATCTATGGCAGAGGTCCCCAACCTTTTGGGCACCAGGGACCAGTTCCATGAAGAGACGTTTTTCCGTGGACCGGAGGGGGCATGGTTTTGTGTGCTACCTGCATCTCGTGGATGGGACTTTGCTTGTTTGTGTGGCCCCGGTTGCTGGCATGCCGTGGCCCAGTATTGGTCCACGGACGGGAGTTGGGGAACCCTGATCTATGGCATAGATCAGTAGTTCTCAACCTGTGGTCTGCAGACCCCTGGAGAGGTATGTGTAATGTCATCACATGGGGTCTGCAAAGACTTGAAGAAATTTATAATTTAAATCTTGGTTAAGTCTTCGGGGTCCACGGCCAAGAAAGGTATTTAAAAGGGGTCCGTAGTGAAAAAAAGATTGAGAACCACTAGGATAGATGATATGATATAAAGATGGATCCTACATGTTAAATGTTACATTTATTTGATCACATTTTTCTCTTTTTTTGTACAGTTTTTTCTTTTTGTTGTTGCTAGTGTTGAGTGTATGTTTGTTTTGTTTTGTATTTTACTTTTTATGATAAAACAATAAATATATAAAAACATTTTATTAATCATTTGTATGATGAAACTGAAAGAATGCTTATGATACAAATTGTGTATAAGACCACCAGTGCTGTAAAAGAAAAAAAACAAACACTGAAATTCAAAACAGTAGTGACAGGCTGCAAAAATAGGCTTAAAAATAACTCAACAAAAATTAATAAGAGAAAAAGCTAATACACTATACGAAGGAAACATACACCAAACGCCAAAGTACAATTTTGAGGCCTTGTGTAAAAGTATAGCAATGGTAGATCATTACAAAGCAAATATGAGCCAATGGTGAGATATGTCTGAATTAAAAAAAAAAAGCATACACAATTTCAGACTGCATCAACAGAAGAAGTTTCCAAATTGTGGTAAATAATACTTTTATGCTGCTTAGTAAACATAATTCTGAAGGATCCATGGTAGTCTCTGAGTTGGTTGCTTTCTTGTAGACATTTCATTACCCAAACTAGGTAAAATCATCAGTGCTAGTAAGAAATAGGGTTTGCTCTCAATTTATATTCTAGTCAGTTGCCCTGTCAAGTGTTGGTGGGGTTGGTCTTAGACGCAGTGTTTCTCAACCTTGACAATTTTAAGGCATGTGGACTTCAACTCCCAGAATTCCACAGCCAGCAATGCTGGCTGTGGAATTCTGGGAGTTGAAGTCCACATGCCTTAAAATTGTCAAGGTTGAGAAACACAGCTAAGAGGTTCTTTGGTTGAGTTGTTTACTGTTGCTCGGATACTGTTTACTTCTTGATTGTTGGGACCATTCCTTACCAGCACTGATGTTACCTAGTTTGGGTAACGAAACGTCTGCAAGAAAACAACCAAGCTGCTCAGAGAGCACCGAGGACCCCTCCTTTCAACCCTGAGCTACAAATATTCTCCTTCGACAAACCCAATTCTTTAAAAAGGATTCAGAGAAATCAGAATGAGAGCAACGACAAGATCAGGGGATACGATGCCGACTACAAAACACGCTTTTTAAAATCATAATAAACCCGCCCGGGAGGAGAGCAAAGCTATAAGTTGACAAGCAGGAGAAAACTAAAGCAGTGTTTCTCAACCTTGACCATTTTAAGGCATGTGGACTTCAACTCCCAGAATTCCACAGCCAGCATTGCTGGCTGTGGAATTCTGGGAGTTGAAGTCCACATGCCTTAAAATGGTCAAGGTTGAGAAACACTGAACTAAAGACTGGAAAAAAGTTTGACGGCTCTCGCAAAGAAATCAAACCCCAGAGGACGCCGGTCTAAAAGCTCGGGCTCACCTGCTCCAAACTCGGGAACTTTCAAATCCCGCTCCCATCCGTCCACCTTCTTCACGTGCTGATACACCAAGTTCTCCTTCTCCTGAAGCGTGTTCGCATCCTCCAGCGCGTAGTCCAACTGGCTCTGCGAAGGCGAAAGCCCGGGCAGGCCGCCCGTCATCGCCGCCATCGCTCTCTCCTCCCCCTTACCCTGCCGAGGACACGAGAAAGCGGGCGTGATTTTACCGCCCTTCCCTTTGGCTTTCCGGCACTTTCCAAACTCAAGTCTGTCCAGTCATGTTGCAAAACCAAACCAAACCAAACCCCCACACCCTGAATGTTTAAATCCTGTCGCCCTCGTGCCAAATAAAACGTCGGACCAAAGATGGGTTATTACTCCCTTTGGAAAGCCACAACGCTTTCCAAAAAGTACAAGAAATCGCATATTCGACAACAGATACCCAGCGGTCTGAGTTTTTTTTTTTCCTTTCTTTCTTTCTTTCACTTTCACAGATTCGCCAGAAACAAATCTGAATCTGCTGGCTAAATAAGTGTAGGAATGTTTTTTTTCTGGCTCTGAAAGATATTAAAATAGTATTTTTTTTTAAAAAAAAAATATTTTGGCGAAAAGGCCATTTGTGGTGAAAGTGCGGAACTCATCGGAACGAATACAGGAGAAGGAAGGGAAGGGCCGCCAAGGAGGAATGAGATCGGTGGCGGCGGCTGGACCTTTTTTAAGATGTGAGAGATTTGGGAATGGGGCTGCTTCATAAGTGGAAGAAACCTGCTGAGGTAACGTGGTGCCATTATTACTCTGATTTCGGGGACGATAGCTTTCTTGGATGGAGAGGCCATTCATTTCGATGCCAGTGTAATCCAAAGGTCACGATCATATTTAATATACGCGGATTACCGAAAATGTACCACCTAATCCACGAGGCTGAAATTCTGCTCACATATCCTGGGGTCAAAACTAAACAGACTAAACTAATGACTTATGGGAACAGGGCTAAACGTTTTGCTGAAGGCAATGCGATTTAGTTACAAGTTAAGATTTGCAGGGAACTCCGAGAGAGAAACTTGGGAGATGGCTGCTGTTGTGTCCTGAGCCTGCAAGAGGCAGGCTCGGGACGTTGCAAGAGTCCCGGGCATTTGCAGAAGCTGCCCGGGACCAGACTGAGCGGCGCCGGCCTTGTGCGCATGCGCAAGGCGGGAAAAGCCCGCCTCATGATTGGTTGAACTTGCCCGGGGATCAGAGGGTATAAATAGGGGATCAGAGGGTATAAATAGAGGCCTGCGTGCCTCTGCTCTGGTTGTTCGTAGAGTGGAGCAAACAATAAAGACTTGTTGAAGATGATTCGTCTCAAGCGCCATTATTCCCAGGACTTAACAGCTGCCCTTGCTCTAGTATGGCCTGGCAAAGCAGTCGCTAAGGACATGTCCTCACACCAGAACCTGGATCAAAAAGATTGACCAGGAAAGTAGTGTTTGCCAGTGCAAAAATATACATTTCTTCCATATAAATGTTCTGATCAGCATGGAGGCAGAGCTGGAGACAGGTCAGCACTGCAGGGATTTAGCTGCTCCACTGGAGGACTAACCACTCCTGGTCCAGCCACAGGGATTGTTACTTCTCTGGCCATTTCTTTTGGCTGCTGGACAGCAGAGAGATTTACTGGGCAATGAACTGATTCTTTTCTCCACGCGTTGAAGGTATTCCACATAGTTCTTCTTACTAAGGCTTTATTAGTATCACTTTATAAAGCCTTACTAAGACCACACCAAGAATACTGCATCCAGTTTTGGTCACCAGATTACAAAAAAGATGTTGAGACTTTGGAAAAAGTGCAAAGAAGAGCAAGTAAGATGATTAAAAGTCTGGAGACTAAAACATAGGAAGAAAGGTTGCAGGATTTGGGTTTGGCTAGTCTAGAGAAAAGAAAGACTAAGGGGGACATGATAGGAGTATTCCAGTATTTAAGAGGTTGCCACAAAGAGGAGGGAGTCAATTTACTTACTAAACCACCTGTAGGCAGGACAAGAAACAATGGATGGAAACTAATCAAGGAGAGAAGCAACCTGGAATTGAGAAACTTCCTAACAGGATAAACCAGTGGAACAGCTTGCCATCAGAAGTTGTAGGGGCTTCATCACTAGAGGTTTTAAGAAGAGACTGGACAGTCACTTGTCTGAAATGGTATAGGATCTCCTGCTGGAGCAGGGGGTTGGACTAGAACAGGGCTTTTCAACCTTTTCACAGATTATACCACTTTTAGGACATGACACTATTTGAGTACCACCAGTGCTTAGCAAGGTGTCAAAAACTTGATGACTAAAAAAAAGGGGAGGGATTTTGGGTTTTACTGATTAGATTCATTTGTTGTTATAGAATTGGCTAGTTTATAATATGGAAAAGTAAAAAGTTGAGGTTCAATATTAATGCTTCCTTCTACTGCAAGAGAGGAAGTCTGTTCTTTTTCCCTTCTCCCCCTCACTTTTCCCCCTTTTCCTCCCCACTATGTCCTACTATTTGCTTTTGTATTTTTGTATTTTATTCTATAATCTAATAAAATATTACAAACTGTAGAAAAAAAAGGAAAAAAGTACCAGTTTTAATTTCTTTGGTGGCTGTTCCTTTGCTGAATCGCTCTCCCTTTGTACTGACAAATGTATGATGAATTTATCCATATTTTTTTTAATATGCACCACTACCAGCTAGTTCAGGGGTCTTCAAACTTGGCACTTTTAAGACTTGTGGACTTCAACTCCCAGAATTCCTCAGCCATCATGGCTGGATGAGAAATTCTGGGAGTTGAAGTCCACAAGTCTTAAAGTTGCTAAGTTTGTATTTATTTATTAATCCCATTTATACCCCGCCCCTCTCCCGAGGGACTCAGGGCGGCTTACAGGTAAATAAAAACAGTACAATACAATAAATATCTCTAAAAGCCAAATTAAAATATATATTAAATAACCTGTATTAAGTTTAATATTATAAAATCCCTTTAAAATCCCTATAAAATCCCCCCCTAGGCCAATCCCGCTTGATGGAAAAGCCATGTCTTGAGGGCCCGGCGGANGCGGAAGGAGGGGAGATCCGGAATAATCCGGATCTCTGGGGGGAGTTCATTCCACAGGGTGGGAGCTCCCACAGAGAAGGCCCTCCCCCTGGGGGTCGCCAGCCGACACTGTTTGGCCGACGGCACCCTGAGGAGGCCCGCTCTGTGGGAGCGTACCGGTCGATGGGAGGCAATCTGCGGCAGAAGACGGTCTCGAAGACCCCTGAAGCTAGCTGGTCGGCCCTCTATCCCTTCTGAGCAATCCTTCCACAGTGTAGTATCCCTGTATCCTTAAAGACATAGGAATCAAGTGCAAAGCAAAATAAGCCTCCCGTTTTTTTTCTCTTTAAGCTGCCTCAGGCATGTCAGTGTCACAATGTTGCAATCTGAGACTGAAAGGTTCCGACAATTGCAAAAAAGCTTTAGCTTTAAATTAAGCCTCTTTACCTTCAAAGAAAACTTTCTAAAAGCTTCTGCCGAGCCCAGACAGTCATACAGCTGCAGCTGCCTCTCCCTCAGGCTGCTTAGGCTCATTCCCCTTCCCTGCTACACATGGCTAGCAGTTGTACCACCTTCCACGTGGCAAAGTATCACAGGTGGTACACGTACCACCGGTTGAAAAGCCCTGGACTAGAAGACTTCCAGCTCTGTTCTGATTGAAGTTGTTTCCCATTGTAACATCTGACATCTTCCACAATGGCAACTGGATGTGCCATTGCAGGGATTCCTATGGCGAAGCATGAAAGAGGCAAGCAGCAGAAAAGGGGAAGATTTCACTCCTTTCCTGCATCTTACTTCCCCAGCACAACAGAGGAAATTTTTCCCTTGCAGCAACTTGTGCAGCCTTGTTTTCAAGGCAAGACAAGGCAGAACCATTGGAATAGCACAGTGGTGGCGAACCTATGGCACGGGTGCCAGAGGCGGCACTCAGAGCCCTCTCTGTGGGCACGCGCGCCGTCGCCCCAGTCCTAGGCCTTCAGCTGGGTTTTATAAAACCTTTTCGCTTTAGGCCTCCACCGCCGTGTGCAAAAAAAAAAAAAGATTCAATCAGTCAATTTCAACTTCTCGCGGGGAAAAAAAGATCTCGCAAAGTTGCAATTGATTGATTGAACTTTTTAGTCCCACCCAGTCTGCCGTTACCACCGCAGCCACGCCCACCCAATGGGCCACACCCACCCAGTGGGCCACACCCACCTGGCACCCGACGATGCATAAGTGGGTTTTGGATTGCAGTTTGGGCACTCGGTCTCTAAAAGGTTCGCCATCACTGGAATAGCAGCTGTTTTCCACTTTCTTCCTGCCTTTAAGGGAGGAGAAAAGCCCTTGGTGTTCTCCCCAGCACGAGGAAGTTTTTCAAAACAAAGATACTGTAGACCAGGGGTGTCAAACTGCCGGCCCACGGGCCAGATGCGTCACACAGAAGCCAGCCCACCCCATTGCCGGCAATGGCAAAACAGTCCCGATGACATCGCGAATTTGACATGTCTGCTATAGATGATATTACATTTATGACATGGCTTGTATTGAGAGAATATGGGAAGAAAGCAGAGAAGAGGGAAAATACTGTTTTGCTTTTCTGAGACCAACCCTTAAAGCTAAAAGTGTGCTTGGAGATGATCTGTTGGCAGATGTTATAAAATGAAGTAACAATGCAGTGTTTATTGAAAAGTATTTGAAATTTAGTTGCTGTTTTTCAGTTCAGAGAATCCATAGGAAACACGTTTCTTTGTGTTTTTAGAATATTTAGAATAATTTTTAAATGAACTGTTGAAGGAATGTTGTTTTACTTTTATTATTTGTATTTCAGGATCACAGAGGAAGAAAAGAAGTCGGTGGAAGAGTTCTAAGTTTTTCTAGTCAAATTTCTCAAAAAATAAGAGAGTTAAAAACTGGCATCATGGCTAGAATTGTAGATTCTTATCTAAGTGCACTTTAATATTTGAAATGTCAATCATTGCACTTGAACGTTAAACTGTATCTGTATTTATAACATTTATATGAATGGGATAGCATGATGTTTAATATGGCAATTGATACTTATTACTTTAAAGTATAGTAAAATAATACAACTGAATTAAAGGAAGTTAAAAAGGATTTCTTCTATAAAGGAAGTAACTACCTAACAGTACAGACTTCTACCGGAAAACCTCCTTCTGTAAACCTTTATATTTAGATAATCCTTCGTTTTCGGGTGTTCGGTTGTAAGTCTTCATTAACGATGGTTTCATGTTTTTCGTTTCTAACTTTTACCATTTAGTGTTTCTTTACTGTTATCTTTACCACCAAAAGCACCCAAAAGAAAAGGTGTCTCTAAGAAGACAAAGCAAAGTCCAAGACAAAGAGGTAGCCAGACACCCTTAAAGCCAGGGGGTTCCATTGGTGATCCTATTAAACCATCACAGGAAGGTCTGTCAACAACTTTGGCAAAAGAAACAAAAATCTGTGAGAGGCAAAACACTGCAAAAGCTAGACCAATTTTCGAGGGGTACTGCCCAAGTTGTCAAATGCCATTTTCTTTATTGTTGATACAGACACCTCAGTGGCATGTTACAGAATGTTTGGATGCCTCAGGGACTGCTGAGAAAGGTACAGTTTTAATGGGAAGCAAGGACTCTTCTACTTTAATTATGAAAACAGGCTATGTTCCTTTAAGAAGTAAACTATATTCTTGTCATGCAATTCAGCATCTGAAAAACATTGACTAGTTTTCAGTCTTTTGATTAACCAGAGGCCGGGGCTAAGAAAATGGCAGCCATATATTGAAACAAATCTTGCTAGTTTTTGAATTAATTCTAAAAACAAGCTAGATTTTTGAAATTGTAGTTAAACTACAGTTTTAAGGCATGCATTAAAAACATGTACCAAATTTTAAAGAACGAAATCCTGTACAAGAGGTCTGGTGAGTAAAGAAAGGCTATGATGCAATTATTATTTTTTTACAGAGAATAGCTTACCAAATTAAAAATAATTGCAGATAATTTTCAATAAAATAAAACTATTTGGTTCCAACTGCCATTATTTGAATTTGAAAACTTTCATTTAACATCCCCTCTCCCCCACAGCCTATTGAAGTTTATTAGCAAAGACTGGCTAAACATGATGTGTCAAGTAATTCAGAAAAAGTAAACATTTATAGCCATTTGAACTCTTTTTGCTACAAATTGTGTTATGTTTCCATCAGACATTGTATTAGAAGTTTTGCATTTTAATATATAAATTCAGTTTGAGGAAATAAAGGTACAATATAAAAAGTTGTCTGCATTAGCCATGTTTTTTTAAAGTATAACTTTCAGGATTTTAATATTTTTTCAGTAAATCTTGTTTTTGCATTTGTGCTATATTCAAAACATTTTCCTAATACTTTTTTCCCCTCTTTTGTTAGAATGTCCTGATGGCATTTTGTGCTCTTCAGTTATTCCTTCTCATTACAAATGCTACAGCCATTTCCAACTTGCAGCAAGTAGAGCACAGGACTCTACCTTGGCATCCTCCTTATCTAGTGCAGAAAATAATTTCATTAGACCTGGTGCTGCTTTACATAATGAATTCAGTTGTAGAGTATTACAGGATGGGAAGGTTCCTCAGAATATGGAAAAATCAAAACAGTTTCTTCTATCACCACAACTGAGTTCAATGACTATGGATTCCATCAATATAACTAACATCATGTCTTCATCTTTGGGAAATATTAACGAATCTGAACATACAATACAGCATATAGATGAAACAAAGCAATCTGAATGCCTTAATCCTTTTTCTGAAGAAACTGAAAGAACTGAGAAGTTAAACAGTCAACTTTGCTCTTTTCAACAGAATACCTCTCTCTCAGATGCTGATATGAATGATAGTGACATTTCCTATTCCCCACTTTATACTGATGAAAATGCTGTAGAATTAGATGAGGCAGATAAGGAAGAAGTGGAGAGAAAGGGAGAGATAACATGTAAAAAAAATCTATTGGATACCAGAAATTTGGAAAGCCAAAGTAGAATTGTTGGAAGTTTATCTAATAGATCGCAGCAGATACAATTTCAACATAAGAGTGTTAAAAGGATGCAAGATGGAACAACGATAAATGAATCCTCTAAAATTTTACCAGCAAGTGTGAATGGAATATCTAAGGCTCTCCCACAAGAAAGCATTCATAATAGCACTGACTGTTCAGCAAGGTTTCTTGATCAGACGAAATGTCCCATAGGAGATTTCAATAATTTAGATGTTAAAGCTAAGACTATTATTAACACATGCGGAAATAGAGCGCTTCAGAGCAATTTGTGTTCAATGAAAGAAAAAAAGGAAACGGAGCCGGTTCCTGCTACAAACACTAAGATCCAAATCACTCCTCCCAAACGCCTAAAACAAATGGACATTGGTGTTTTCTTTGGGTTGCAACCAAAAGTAAAAAGTGAGACTACCCCAAAGAAAAATATTTCTGAAGAAAGAGCGATTGTGAATCCATCAGCTGCAAATGGAAACAAGCTCATATCTCGAAAGAGGAAGGCTGAAGGATCAATAGGAGACGCTGATACAATCACAAAAAGTTCAAGCATTAAGTATGACACCAGAGCAGATAATATTTCTGGTGGTCAGAGAAGATATAAAAAAAGATACAGAGAGTCATATCCTGGTGAGGATGGAATAAAAAAGCAGTGTCCTTTTTATAAGAAGATACCAGGTAGTGCTCTATTTATTTTGTAAGAAAACAATTTAGGATTGTTGGGTTTATTCCCTTGCATTGTTAATTTCTCCTAAAGAATGTGAAAATACTCTTTCAATATATAAGTAAAATAACATTTTTTTACTCAAAGCCCTGAAGCTGTTCTGTATTTAGCTCTCCAATGAAAATGATCTTGTACAAAAGTATTCACAAGTAAATTATATTGCATTCAGTAGGAATTATTCTTTGTTAGGGTACTATTGCAATCTATTCATTAAAATATGATCATTAATGGCAGGAGTAGCCAATATAAATCTTTCTCATAAAGAAATATGTAACTAAACAATAGAAAGGAACAATTATTATATTTTTTGGCAGACAGGTCTAAAATTACAGAAAATGTTTAAAGATGTATGAAGATATTTAAGTTGTGCTAGCATCAATGAAATTTATTAAGGCTGCAATCCTGCACATACTTTAGTTCCACTAAATTCAATGAGGGTTGCTTCTGAGTCCACAAGCATAACTGTAGTGTAAGTTCTTTGATATGTATTTATTTCTACTGATTATAGCTTTAAAGAAAGCATTTCCATATTTTTGGCTGTTTAGATAAGTATGATTATAATAAGTATGAATGCCCATTAAGTGTATTAGGTAATGCTTTTTTTTCATCACTAAAACTTAAGGAAACAAACATGGTTAGTACCACTTTTCTGAGTGTAAATTCAAAGAATCCTCAGGTAACTTTAAAGATTTAACATTTATTCTGGAATAAGCTTTTGTGATTAACACAGGAATGTGAATGTTGATGCATTGGCACTTAGTTCACAAAAGCTTATGCCCTAATGAGTCTTAAGAGGATTCTATTATTCTAATTGTACTAGTCAGCTTTGGCAGTTGCACTAAGTAAAAAAATGACTGTTCTTTTATTAATTTGTTTCAGGCACAGGTTTTGTAGTAGATGCATTCCAGTATGGAAAGATTGAAGGTTGCAGTGCTTATTTCCTTACCCACTTCCATTCTGATCATTATGGTGGCCTAACTAAAAAGTTTACATTTCCAATATACTGCAATAAGGTATGCCTGTTGAGGATTCATTTGTGACATACAAAACAAGTAAAATACATCTTGTATATGCAGATAATATTAATAATCCTATGGAATTTTGGAACTAATTCCAATTAATTTTGAAATTTATCAAACATATCCAACAATTCTGAAGCATATCAATTAAATTGTGGATTGCATAGTGCATTACTTTTGTGTTATTCCTTGTAAAGCTATTACTACCACTGCTAAATTACTATACTTTTTGTACTTCTGAATATAATGATGAAGTAGAGACTCCAAGTGTGGAAACTACTATCTGTCTTCAGTCCATATAGACTGCAACTAAATGCAAATTATATATTCAATAACAACTACTTTCCCCTTTTTTCTTCTCTCATTTGTTCATTTACCATCTTGCCTAATTAAGACATTGTAATTAGTCCAAATGAAAATGGTACAACGTGTAAGTAGCTGCAAAACATTTTTTGTATTTTAGATAACTGGAAACTTAGTAAAGAATAAACTGAGAGTGCAAGAACAATATGTCCATATCCTGCCAATGGATAGAGAATGTATAATAGATGGCATCAAAGTAGTGTTGGTTGATGCTAATCAGTAAGTATTTTTGATAAATGTACTGTACATTAAAATTATATGACTAATTTACGTTAATTTTGTTTTGGATTTGAATTTAAAATGCCTTTTTTCCTTCCCTTTCTCTCTTCCACTCCACTCATTCTTCTGGCAGTTGTCCTGGTGCTGCAATGATTCTTTTCTGTCTTCCAAATGGGACTGTAATATTGCATACAGGCGATTTTAGGGCAGATCCTTCTATGGAACGCTGTCCTTTCCTAAATGGTTGGAGAGTTCATACTGTTTACTTGGACACAACGTAAGTTTTTGCTTAAACATTTAGAATATTGGAATAGGGGGGAAGCACTTTTTAAACTACAAAAATGTGCTAGGGTAGAATCATGGAATTGGAAGGGATTATCAAAGTTATCTAGACCAAAGCCCTGCTTGCTACAAGGTTATGTCTAACATACGACCATCTCCCTCTGAGTAAAAACCTCATGTAGCAGACTGTTCTGCTAGACAAAGAATTCTTCATGTCTAGCCTGAATATCTACACTTTGGCATTGGACATTTCTATTGTGCGACAATAGAATACAAGCAGGGCTTTTTTTCAGCCGCTTGCGCCGCCTTGGCGCAAGGCCGTGGAAAAAGGCCCGGCCGGCGTGGCCTTTATCGGGGAGGGTGTGGCCTTTATCGGGGAGGGTTTAAAATGAACGTAAGGACAAGAGATTTCCCCGCCAGGATCCCAAACTACTCCCGCACCGGTCCAAACTCAAGGCGGTGGAAAAGTCCGAGAAAAAAAGCCCTGAATACAAGTCCATGTTTTCTTCTGTGCGACAGTCCTTGAGATTGAGATAACAACCACAACCACATTAATAATAATAATAAAGTTGGATGGGACCTTGGAGGTCTTCTAGTCCAATCCCCTCTTAAGCAGGAAACCCTATACCATTTCAGACAAACAGTTGTCCAGTCTCTTAAAAACTTCCAGTGTTGGAGCATTCACAACTTCTGGAGGCAGGTTGTTCCACTGATTAATTTTTCTAACTGTCAGGAAATTTCTCCTTAGTTCTAGGTCAGTGGTTTTCAACCTTCCTAATGCCGCGACCCTTTAATACAGTTCCTCATGTTGTGGTGACCCCCAACCATAAAATTATTTTTGTTGCTACTTCATAACTGTAATTTTGCTACTGTTGTGAATCGTAATGTAAATATCTGATACGCAGGATGTATTTTCTTTGTTACAAATTGAACATAATTAAAGCATAGTGATTAATGATTCACAAAAACAAATTGGGTTTGAAGATAAGCAGTAAGATGGAAAGAAAATTAAGCAATGAAACTGAGAGTTCCTGGATTAGAATTTATTACACCATCACATTAAAAATAAAAATATTTCCAATCTTGTTGGAAAAACAGTGGATTCACTCCTACTGATAATATTATTTAGATCAGGGCTTTTCAACCTTTTCACCGATTGTACCACTTTTAGAATATGGCAACATTCGAGTACCACCAGTCACCTAGCAAGGTGTCAAAAACTTGACACCCCTCCCCCAAAATGGAAAAAAGTGATAAAGTACAGGTAATCCTTGACTTACAACAGTTTGCTTAGTGACTGTTCAAAGTTACAATGGCACTGAAAACAGTGACTTATGACCATTTTTCACACTTATGACCATTGCAACATCCCCAGGGTCATGTGATTTACATTTGGATGCTTGGCAACTGATTCATATTTATGATGGTCACATTGTTCCAGGATCATGTGATCACCTTTTGCAACTTTCTGACTAGCAAAGTTAGTTGGGAAACCAGATTCACTTAACAACCATGCTACTAATTTAATCTCTCTCCCTCTCTTTCTCTCTCCCTTTCTTTCTCTCTCTCTCTTTCTTTCCCTCTTTATCTCTCCCTCTCTGTATTTCTCTCTCCCTCTAACTTCCTCTCTTTCTTTCTCCCTCTTTGTCTTTCTCTCCCTCCCTCTCTCCCTTTCTCTCTCCCTCTCTTTCTCCCTCCCTCTCTTCCTCCTTCCCTCCCTCCCTCCCTCCCTCTCTCTCTCTGATTGGGGATCGATTTGGAGGAGGGGAGCGGCCGAGGGCTGCCCATGTAACATTGAAGTGGCCACCTTTGGAAGCAGCAAGGCTGCTCCAGCCAGGCTCGAGCCGGGCAGAGTGGGCAATGGGAGAGGAGTGGGTCGATCACCTTACCGGCAGCCGAGCCTACGGTATCAGGTGCGCCTTCCCGGCTAGCGGAGCCTACGGTATCAGGAGCCCCGCGAGGGGGCAAGCCGGCATGAAGAGCCAAACCCTTCCTGCAAGGGAGGGACGCGTTGAGGGAGCCAGCCAATCACGGGACATAGATTCTGACGGACGGCTGGCCTGAGCCAATGAGGCGCCAAAGGACTGGGAGCCATAATTGAAGGCTGAAACGCCTTCAGCTTTAACTGCTTGCACGTGTTTGTGTGTGTGTGAGTGCGCTGGCCCGGATCAATGTTGCTTTCCAGGTGATAGGCGCTTCTTCAGGGCTCAGGAGAAGCACCAGGATCAGCTCTGGAAGAAGCACAGATCAGGCAGAAAGGGGCGCTGATCTGGCGCTTCCCCTGAGCTGTCCCAGCCTCGGAGAAGCACAGATCAGGCAGAAAGGGGAGCTGATCCTGGCGTTTCTCCTGAGCTCTCCCAGCCTCGGAGAAGCACAGATCAGGCAGAAAGGGGCGCTGATCTGTCGCTTCCTCTGAGCCTTGCCAGCGGGACGTGTGCCTCTCGGGCGGCTCAAGGCGTGTGACGAGGGAAAGAATATGATTAACACCGCGCGCGTACACACAGAGAGCGCTTGTCTTCCACCACATTTTATTCACGTCAACCTTTTTTTTCTTCGTAATATTTGGAGTTGAAAATAACGACTCTACACAAACGCACACACAAACACGCAGACAGACACGCCCCCCTCTCCTCATCAGTTCCTTTCCTTGGCTCGTCCACTGTGTGTTCCTGAGGCGGCGGCGGCAGCTTTGGCCTTTGGTCTTTCCTAAGACCATCAGAAATATGTGTTTTCCGATGGTCTTAGGCGACCCCTGTGAAAGGGTCGTTCGACCCCCCAAAGGGTCGCGACCCATAGGTTGAAAACCGCTGTTCTAGGTGGTGGTTGTTGATGATGATTGTTTAAGATCCCTTTCACATTTGACTTTTGCAAGTCAAATTTCCGCTGCCGTAATCAGTACCAATAGGATTGAATGATAAGGTTTAAAATTAAGAAAATATCCTCAATGAGTTTATCTTTCATTTTCATCGGACTATATTGTGTTTAATAGTATTGTACGGGAGCATATGGTTGCTTTGTTAAGAAAAACAAGATGCTTATGAACCCGAGGAATCCTATCAATATATTTCCTAATCTGCATGATTGTTTACCATACAGATAAGTTCTGCTTATCTCCCTCTAATCACAGGGAGTGAGGTATAAGGAACAATTGTTACTTGTCTATGTACTTTTCATTCATCCTAAGATGTGAGCTTTATTACTTCTCTCTATTCATTTTAGATTGCAAAATACAGGACAATAATTCTGTAGGAAAACAAAATATAGAGATTTATATACACAGCCTCCCCTATCACTCTTTATATTCCTGGATCATCGTATGATTAGTTTTCATCCTTCTAATTCTTTGCAGTATTCCTAATATTTTTTTGCTGCAGATTATGTCACTGAAAGCAGTATCATCCTGCTTTGTCAATTATATAAAGAAATACCATTCATTTCTTATGCATAGATCAATCGTGTCCTACTAATTGAGACAATAGCATATTTTTGTCGACACATGTGGCAAAAAAAGAGACATTGAACAAATTATGGACTGATTTAAAATTTTCACTTTTGAGTTTGATACTTTTCACTGAATTATATTTTGATACATATTTGAGATACTCTTCATCTGTTCCTGTAAATATAACAAACAGAAACCATTGACTAAAGGTGTTGCTTCCTTTTTTCCATCAAAGCTGAGTTTTCTAATGTGTGTTTTATTACTGTTTCTTAGGTATTGTAGTCCTGAATATACTTTTCCTTCCCAGCAAGAAGTGATTCAATTTGCTGTCAATACTGCATTTGAACGAGTGACTTTAAATCCACGAACATTAGTTGTTTGTGGAACATATTCTGTTGGAAAAGAAAAAGTTTTTCTAGGTAAGGGACAGACTCTTCTGGTAAGAGCAACAGAGATACTATATTCTAGATATTTGAGCTAAACCTAATACTTAGCACAACTTAATTCGATGTTTCTACTCCTAATGTTACTTTCCCAAAAATATCACAGCTCTAAAATAGTTAAAACCATGTCCTACTGGACTTCTTGGCAAACAGTTCAGAGACAAGTCAGTGTGTGTCATGAACGATTGGTGATGCCCCATTTTAGTAATGCTATAGTTTATAAAAGCTTTGGAGATATTAATAGCGTTGTAAATGTAAGAGACTTTTTCAACTTTTAACTCAGCTTCTTGGTATGTGGGATAACTTTCCAAATGCAGTGTAATTTATTTCAATCCTAAGTTGGAAAGTGTTGAAACACGCATGTCGGCCTTCCTAAAAATGATTATTTGGAACAAAATGAATCTTTTCTCCAATTTTGGAACTCTTCATAGTCTATCATATTACTATTTTTAAACTGGCAAGCAAATACAAATGCTTATTGTTAAACAAGAAAAAAATAAATTTGAACGGTTTTAAAAAAAACTTTAATGAAACATTTGGTTTCTTTGTTAAAAATAACATAAATGGTATCAGCTAATATATGAACCTTTCACTTATACTTGAGCTACTTTTTCTTAAAAATATGAAGGTGAATCCTGAAACCTCAATATGAAAAAAAAAACCTGATTTTGTTTCATAGTTTGTGTATTGCCCATCTTCAAATAATTGGATGAACTGGCAGGCAAGAAGAGAAGATTGTCAGACTGGAGGAAGATTTTACTAGTTTAGTCAAATTCCCTGTGAATCCTCTATATTTCTATTGTATTAGAATATTTTTCTGAGTAATCAGCAGATTACTCAAAACAAACATATAGGCAAATGCTACTTTTAGGGAATTATCCATGAAAGAAGTACAAAAAGTAACTTTACCTTTTTTTTTTCCTATTTCCATTTTCACGTTGTCACTCCTGTAGCTATTGCTGAAGTCTTGGGCTCAAAAGTAAGCATGTCTCAGGAGAAATATAAAACACTTCAGTGCTTAGAATCGGCAATGATAAATTCCCTCATCACTTTGAACTGGAATAATACTTGCCTGCATCTTCTGCCCATGATGCAGATTAATTTTAAGGTAAGATTGCAAGCTGAATCCCAGAGTAAGAAAAGTCACAGTCTTCTACCTTAAGATACTAATTCTTCCTTATAATTACAGCAAATAAAATCCAGGGGCCGCCGCACATCGCCCAGGTAGCCCAGCAGAGCTATGGCGGTCACGCCCTCTGCTCGCGCCCTGCATCATCAACTGTGCACGATGGGGTGTGAGGGCAGAGTCTTGTCTATGCTGCCTGGCTGCCATGTCCTTGGCTGCGCTGCTCCGTGTGGGCCACGCTCAGAGGCAACTCTCCTTCGGGAGGGCTGCTGGAGAGGAGGGAGGGGGGAGGCAAGGCTGGGGCAATGGCACGTGGGGGGGGAGGCAAGGCTTGTGGGGGGAGGCAAGGCTGGGGCAATGGCATGTGTGCCCACAGAGAGGACTCCGAGTGCTGCCTCTGGCACCGTGCCATAGGTTCGCCACCAGTGTCATAGGCCCTGCAACAGCCCAGAATGGAAATGGTTAAAGCAAAAGAAAGGCTCCCAGTTGCTTTTTGTTCTATATCCCAGCAACATGTTATATGCAAAACGTAATTTGGGAAAAAAGAAAAAAAATGATTTATTATGTTTTACTATTTAACTTTTGTCATGGTTTAAGAAGTTGCATAGAACGTCTTACATTTATCATGTAAATCTAAAGCGAACCAAGACACTGTTCTGAAACAGTGAATCTCTCAGATATTTGCAATTTGATATCTTTTTTTGGTATCTTTTTGCCCTGTGATTGAGAAATGTCTTGTTGCCTTTAAAACAATACCAGTGAAATCTGTGACCTCTAGATTAGAGGTGTTGAACTTCAGCTCTCATAATCTCTAAACAGATGGCCGTTGGACATAAAGATTGGGAATTTTGTCAAATATATTTACAAAGCACCAGAGTGGGAAGGCTGCTATAGACAAACAACATTCATTCCATTACCATAGTGTACTGAAATTATTAAGAAAATGTAGTTAAGAATATATCTTTTTTAAAGAACTAAGATATCTATTGAAGCTACGTTCAGAGAGTAAACATAAGGAAAAGATGGGTTAAATTAAAAAGCCATCTTTGTGTTTTTAAGATTCTTACAGAAGAAGTTTGATTTATATCACTTGCGTCTAAAACATTTTGATAGTTAATATGCATTGATTTTTATCTTTCCCACTTTGGTATTTTCATGATGTCTTGTTCCCAGAATTCTCAGCCAGCCTGAGAATTATAGTCTACCACATCTGGAGTATATCAGATTGGTTGAAATTGGAATTAATGAAATGGCAACAGTTTAGGGATGTGGAAAATTTGGCAGTTCAGGAACAGAACACTCCGGAGAACTCTAGAATGTTCCGCTTTCTGTCTGAACCATGGGGTTTCAAGAGCAGTATCTGGAAGATGGAAGAAGGCTAAAAAAGTATGGGATGAAGCAGAAGGAGAACAGAATGTTTTGGAATTCTCCAAAATGTTACTAAATCACCACATTTTGCATACTCCCATAAAACTTTAGGGTTTCAGGGGTCTTTACAAATGCTATCTAGAGATGCCAATGTTTAAGTTGTGAATCTTTTACATGCAGAACATTTATTTAATTGTACAATAATCTTCCCAATGTATCAAAGAACACATAGTATGTTGAGATCTATTGAATATGACATCTGATTTGGATTATTCGTGGCAATATACTCCAAAATTCTCCATTTATTTGGAATATTTTTCCAAAATGTCTTTGGGAATATTTTGAGTTTAATGATCTCCGGATTATTTTGAGTAGTCCTATATCTATTAACTCTGCTTTTTTGGGGGTGGGGAAATGGAGGAATCTCCCCCCCCATCCCCACCATTGCTAAGCAAGACAGTTAAGTGACTTTTGCTCCATTTTGTGACTTTTCTTGCCACAGTTGTTAAGTGAATCACTGCAGTTAAGTTACATCACGATTCTTAAGTGAATCTGGCTGCTCCATTGACTTTGCTTGTCAGAAGGTCACAAAAGGTGATCACATGAACCTGGCACACTGCAAACATTATAAACATATGCCAGTTGCCAAGCATCCAAATTTTGATCATGTGACTTTGGGGTGCTGTAATGATCATAAGTGTGAAAAATGATCCTAAGTCACTTTTTTAATGCTATCGTAACTTTGAATGATCACTAAACAAACAGTTATAAATCAACAACTACCTATACTTTTTTCATTTCAGTAGTTCATGTGGAATGAATAATTATAGTCAAATAATTTTCCAAATAAGTATTTGTCACAGAAGCATTTTTAGGATTGAATCATTACAGACAACTTTTACATATGTTTATTCCGAAATCTCAGTAGTCTCACTAATTTAAGTGGTAAAATCAAAGGTAAATATATTGCAATTTGAACAGTTTAATCATGTAGAGTTTGTTCTTTATATGTTAAAGCAGACATGTCAAACTCGTGACATCGTGTGATGTATTGGAGCTTTTTTTCCCCTTGCCGGCAATGGAGTGGGCGCGGTTTCATCATGACGCGTCCAGCCCATGGGCTAGACATTTGACACCCCTGTGTTAAAGTGTATGGATAAGCATGAAATAAAACTACAGGTAGTCCTCTACTTACAATCACAGTTGAGGCCAGAATTTCAGACATTGAACGAAATAGTAATTAAGCAATACATTGTGTGACTGTTTTGCTTAATGACTACAATCTGAGCGCTCCAGTTATGGTTGTTAAGTAGAAGGAGATAAAGAATGTGGGGTGCCTTGGGGAAAGGAGACCCTGGGAGGCTCTGTTAAGGAGTGACAATCTTCCCTGCTGAAATTCAAACCAGATTTTCAGGCTCTGAGTGAAGAAAAAAATTCTTTCTGAGGCCATTTTGTCTTCCAACACTCATTAAACAACCAATCATGAGTTGAGGACTACCTGTAAACATTGCAGCTAAATAGCAAATATATTGCTTTGTATTTGCTTAAGAAATATTTCGAACAGTAGTGAAGTCTATCTCTTAACTAAATACCATGATCTGGTTTCCTTTTTGACCTTTTTCATGGATATTGCTGTTTTAATAATATTTACTAGTCAATTAGTGTCACTGTAAGTTTTTTTTTCATTGCTGCATATTGTTTTGCAACTTGTTTCACTATTTTCAAACTGTCTAATAATTGAACTAATAATAGAAAGTCCTGAATTAATATTATGACACTTTATCATGAATTTCCTCCAAATGGTAATTCAGAATAAATAGATAAAACTTTGACCATTATTTGGAATTTATGTGCATAGCAGGGATGCTGAAAATTTATAAAATTTATAAAACTGTAATAACCTTTTCTTGTAAATATTTTTATCCCTGCATATTAACCAAATCCACAACATGTGTTGCCATTATCTAATAATGTTATCTAAAAACTATTTATTTTCAGTTGAAATAACCAGGTATTATTTTTTATCTACAGAATTTGCAGAATCATTTGAATAAGTTCTCTGAGAAATTTGATCATATTTTGGCTTTTAAACCCACCGGGTGGACATATTCAGATGGATGTTGTTCTTTGGGTGATATCCAACCTCAGACAAGAGGAAATATCACTATATATGGTAACATAATTTCAAATTATTAATATGCTTAATTATCTTCTCTCAGTTTTCCATTACAGGTTGGAACCAAATAAGCCATGACCTATCCTAGAAATTGAAGGGATACAAAATAAATAGAGGGTGTTGTATTTGACCTTTAAAAGACAACTTACATTTGTCAGGCATTGTTGTAAAATGTTTAGAGGGCACATACATTTTTGGAAACAAGAGCCCTTTTTCTTTTCCAGCTATATGCTTGGATTCAGACTTTTGTAACAGGACTAATTGTATGCAATCCAGAATACCTCTTTACATTGATCAGAGACAGACCCATGTTACGTCTAATACATATTTTGATAATGGAGTAGATAGGCAAGTGTTTTGAATGTTCCACATTAAATAACCAGTAACTTTTCTTGAGGAAACAGTATTTCTTTCATGGTTTACCTATTTATGCTTTTGGCATTTTCAGTAATTCTCTTTCAGCATTTGATAGGGGCATTAAGTTATTAAACCACAAAATAATTTAACGTGAGCAGACTAAACAGTAAGGATAGAAGCTATGTAATTTTGCCCAGAATTTAGCTGGATACTCAGTATGTAAATTACATTGAAATTTAGTTAAAACATCAGTTTCAGGTTTTGTAAGGCACGTTATGCTAAATTTCAGCTATTAATATTGACTATTGGTTGTTGTTGTTTTATATGCAGGGATTCCTTACAGTGAGCACAGCAGTTTCCTTGAAATGAAACGATTTATTCAGTGGCTGAAACCTCAGAAAATTATCCCTACTGTAAATGTAGGAAACTGGAAAGTTAGACATGAAATGGAAAAGTATTTCAGGGCCTGGAAGATGGAAGTTGCAGAATGGAATTAGGAAAGTAGGATTTTTATTACAATAATTATATGCCTTCTGATCAATTTTCTGCATTGTTTTTTGACTCTGATTTACATGGAAACAATGTAGGTATATAGAAACAAACATCTTCTGTGTGAACAGAAGATGCTGTATTTGCAGAATGTACAGCATCCAGAAGAAATGAAAAATGAAATTAAGTAATATAAAGTTACTAATGTTTTTACATTTTTTATTTATTGTACTTAAAAATAAATAAACAACCTGAAATATAATTCTAGATAAGTGTTTCAGTCTTTTAATAATTTACAAAGCAAGCATTAATATTTTCAAGATGCTGTATTGCCTTTGGTCTCATATGTCCCTGTTGAAGTACTGGTATAATGTTTTTATCTGTGTGTTGATCTAAGTTTTGGCAGCTTGCATCAATAGTTGTATCATTCACATAATTACTAATAACGGATGTCTAATCCCTGTAAGGCTAATGGCCATCAATCTTTCTCAGTGCATACCAACACCAACTTTTATCTTTTAATAAATTTTAGTTCTCCTTTTCTGCAACTTTTTTATTTCTGGAGTAGGAGAATCTGATCACAGGACAGTATTAAATATGCATTTATAAATAATACATATATTTATAAATGTGCACATTTTATTTTAAATCCCTTTCATAGGTTCTAACCATTGATCAGACAAAATGCACTATGCAAGATCTTTCTCATAATTCATTTCAATTTTTTTTCATTATTTATTTTCATTCATTTTTATTTAGCATGAAGATAGAAAGACATCATTCTTACTTTTGCATTCAGAATTTAAGCAACCAGAATTTAGCTAATGCATACAAAAACATAGATAAGCTTCTACCTTTTGGGTCTACTTTTTAAGGTTGAAATTTAGTAAATGATTACCTGTTCTGTAATTCAGAAATTAATTCTCTCTTCTGATAACAACAGGACTAATAATAATTATTGTTAAAAACTATTAAAAACAGGGAACAATACAAAAAACCATAAAAACATAAAAGAAAAGAAAAATGATGACAGCGACAACGAAACCAAATGGGAACAAAGAAAACAGAAATGGGTGTCAATGCATTCTTGTCAAAGAATTGAGTGAAGAGCCACATCTTCAGGACCCTTTAAAATACATGGAATCATGAGAAATCTTCCAGAGATTCCCATTTTGCCTACCCTAGAAGGTAGCTGCAATTAATTCCCCAAAATTAATCAAATATCTTGTTAGAATTTAGCTGGAAACATTAATTAGCAATATTTGGATCTTCTTTCTTTACTATTTATACACTTCTTTTGGATATATGTATTGGATAGACAGGATCCCACAATGCATTCTCCTCTGCATATTGACCCATGCCAACTCCTCTGTGTTGATCTAGTGTCACCATGAAACGTAGACTTCTTCAAAAGCCCAAGACAATGTACATTGTTACATCTTAGCTTACGAACCAAATTTCTTATTTCCCTTTTTCTAACTTCTCCAAGTATCTTTCCTGCCAGCTTCTTAACTTGCTCCCCTCTGTAAACTGTATTGTGTGTATGAAAATCTTGATTCTTTTGCACTGAGATTGTCACCCACAAACAAGAGTTTGTAAGTCTGGAATGACAAGATGGCTAGCTATGTTTACTTCTGATGGAATTCCTTTTCTGATGGAATTTCCTTTTCCTTGTCTATTCACACTTAACTATTTAAAAAAAAAACATTTTATGGGTAAGGGTGAGGCGCCATTATTTTTCTTTCCCAGTTAACTTCTTGTATGAGAAAGAATGCTTACTCTAGTTGTTTTCAATCAGACTATTACCACTAAGTTCCAAGTTAGACTAAATGGATCCATCAAATATCTAACCATCTATAAATCTTGGAAAACTCTTAGAAAAAATAGGACCACTCAATCTTTTCCTTCCTTCCTTCCTTCCTTCCTTCCTTCCTTCCTTCCTTCCTTCCTTCCTTCCTTCCTTCCTTCCTTCCTTCCTTCCTTCCTTCCTTCCTTCCTCCCTCCCTCCCTCCCTCCCTCCCTCCCTCCCTGTAATTAGGAAGTCACAAAAGCTGTAAGAGGATCATTATTCATGCATTAGGGGAGTTTTTATTTGTTCATGAGGTCCATACATTAATGTTAATATTCAAATTAATGAGTTGTCCTTAACAGTTTTAATACCTTTTGATATAATAATGATTCTGTTAAGATGAAAAAGACAACAATATCGATGTCAAGGCGATTCAATCAAAGAATAAACATCTAATCTTTTTACTCGTTTTTATATTAACTTGTAAGTGTACTTACCCTGATAGAAATACATGTTTACCAAAGTAATGAAATATTGGAAAATTGAAACAGAACATATAGTATTATAAATAGAACACATATACTGTGAGATATATGAAAACTAAATCATATTTAATCATCTGTCCTTTATATCAAAAGAAGGTGAGTCTCGGGTTGTTGTTTTTTTAAAAAAAAACAGGATAATAACTGGTTTTCCTCCCTCTTTTCCAGAAGCAATATTTTTGTTTTATAACTAAAAAATACAGAATAGAAATCATCATCCAGTCAGAGCTGAAGAAGCTTCTTGAATGAGAAGCGAAACATCTTCAAAGAAAAACAAGAAAGTCCAGTTGCCTCTTGAAAAAGCCATGACCTGGATGACTGAGTATCTCCATAGACAACAGAATACAAAAATACAATTTGATGCACTATTAAAGTTTTCCTTTTGAACATATAATAATAATAACAATAATAATAATAAAGTTGGAAGGGACCTTGGAGGTCATCTAGTCCAACCCCCTGCTCAGACAGATTACCCTATACCATTTCAGACAAATGGCTGTCCAGTCTCTTCTCAAAAACTTCCAGTGTTGGAGCATTCACCACTTCTGGAGGCAGGTTGTTCCACTGGTTAATTGTTCTAACTGTCAGGAAGTTTGTCCTTAGTTCTAGGTTGCTTCTCTCTTTGATTAGTTTCCATATAATTTGGATTTTAGCACAAAGGCAGCTGTTTTAACTGGATCAAGAGACTAAATACATGCTAAAGTCTTATTTATTCACCAGGCTTTTTTTTTTTTAACTAGGCTTGGAAGGTGCCAAGAATTTAATTGGCAGAATGACATGATTCTTATGTAACGTAACTAAGCACACTGCACGTCCAAAGTTTTAGCTGTTAGCTACTTCACTGAAAGCTCAAAACTAGAAACATTTGAAATCTCTTTGAATTTAATTTTTTTCTTTTAAGCTCACTTTATTAATTATGGATATGGTTCAAAATACATATTACAAATGTGTAAAAGCCACTTTGTAAAGAAGTGAGAGTACAGTGCTTCTCTTGATTTAATGATCACATAAGACTATGTGTCAACCTGGTACTTTTCAGGTAGGCTGGACAATTCTAGTGGCCATGTCGGCTAAAAATGAATGTTCAACACATCTAGAAGATGTCAGATTATGAAAGATTGCTGAGGTAATGAGGCAAATATTCTTATCCCTTAGTTAAATTTGTGAGCTGAATATTTTCTAGAAAGCTTTATAAAACATTCTTAAAAATCTCAGTATTTTGGAAGTAAATCCTCTTGCCTGAAAGTGGCTATAAAAGTTATTCTTTCAATAAAATAGTATAATAAGACGACATAAAGTCATATCTTAGCATTTTTTAATTTCTGCATTGAACCTTTGATAGATTTGCAAATAGCCACCTCTAGAAATATAATAAGTAATTAAATATTTATAAAAGGATTCCAAACTATACACAGAAGGAATTATACAATTTTCTAGAGTACTTTGGACAAACTTGGATTTTCTATTCATAATTATTTGATCTTGGTTACATTTTGACAGCAGTAGTCTGTATTTACGGACCATTACAGGCTAGGTAACATGGATTAACTTTGTATTTTACATCAAAATAGCTTATAATATTTTCCTATAGAATGAAGATAAGAATTCAAAGCAATATGTGAATATGCTGACGAGGAAATAATTGTATTTGATAAGCACTTATCTACTCATCCAAATCATTATAAAAAAAATGAAGACTTCTTAGATCATGCAGACCATACTGTCACAACTTGCAATTTGTGTTTGAGATGTCACTTAAACTGAAATTGTTTATGTGAAAACATACTTCTACTGAATTATGTTAAAGGCAGTAATAAAGAAAATAATGTCTTTAACAACTGTTAGTAACTGCTGTTCCATCTACGAATGCCAATTAGAAGAAAATGTAGCATACTTCTCCATCAAAAGAGTACATATTTTTTTAACAAAAAGATTCAAACTCCTGTCAAATATTCCCAAGGACTTTTACGTAAGTACAAACTTTTCATTTAATATGACTTTTTAGTGCTAAGTCGTTTACGTGGACTTTTCGGAAAAGATAAAATGTAACTAGAAACAAAAAATATGTGACAGTAGAAAAATAGTTCAGGAACTACTTATGGAACTCTACTTGTTTAGAAAAGGGGAGAACACTTCAACTTCGCCCCTTTTACATGAGTGGCGGTGTAATTGTGTTGATAGAGCAGCTCTAAAATAAGTACCTGTATAAAAAAAAATACAAGGGAAATATTATGCCTCTATACTTGCTTCCAGCACATATCATACAGAATCCCACAAATCTCAGCAGAAAGATTTGTTTGGCTTCCCAGCTAGCAAAAGATAGTATAGAAAGTGAATTTTAAACAATCACTTTCCAGAAATGATATTAAAAGTTAATTTAGATGGCAAATCAATTTTATTTTCTAGTTTTATTTTAATCATTTGCTGTGAGAAATAACTTTTTTAAATGAAGTACTTTAAATGAAGTAAGGAGAGGGATTTTTTTGTATTATATATAATTATGGAATTATATTTTTTGCTTGCTCCTTGTAAAATGGGAATGAATAGTGTCTTGATTTACATTCTAAACATAGAAAGCACAGCTGCTTTCTAATCCATTGCTGGTTTCTTGATTTAACCCCCTAATAACACTGAGATTAAAGGGGGGGGAGCATTAGCAGGTTGCAAAGAGCAATTTTGGAGGACAGTTGTAGCATCCATGCATTCATAGAAATGAATGCATGGATATTTTTAATTCTGTTATTAATGAAACAATTGAAAAGAATTCTCACACTGGTAGAGTATAAGATATGAAGCAGAGAACACAAAAAGTATTTTGAAGGAGAACGAAAGCAGAAAGATGACTTGGAGAGAAAGAAATCATGATCTAATGTGTGTTTAAAATTAAATCTGCAACTCCTCATATTTCTAAGCAGGAAGGATTTGAAAAAGATGACTGGTGCAACAGTTAAATAAAACTGAGAATTAGTTAGGAAGATGTCAGGATGGAACATTTGCCAAGCAACAGAACAAAACAATTTCTGACATTTACATTCCTAATTAGCAGATGTTAATAATATCTGATCTTCCACTAAACCGTATTTCACTTAGGATGCATCAAAATTCAGACAACTTTTATCTAAGAAGTTTAAACAATCCCATGTACAGGAATATAAATTCACACAGAGAGAAAACTCAATAGATTCAAAAAATGATAGCAATATATTTCAAGGATCAGAATCAGCATGCCACTAAATTTTAGCTGCTATGTTGTTGCCCTCCTATTCCTAAGGTGTCAATGGGAAGCAAGATGGTATATATGCTTCATCTTTGACCTGATTTAAAGCAGCATGTTTTTTAATAAATAAAGATTCATTATAAATACAGTCCTTATAGATGTCACTAACAAACTTTTAACAAACATCTATGTGACATAGAATTCGATCACAGTATTCTAAATTGGAGGTGACAATGGTCCCCCCTTCTTTGTGTGGGAATGTAATCCCATTCAGCATCACACTTGGAGAATTTCCAAAAACTAGGGCACCCTATCTTGCTAAAGATAAGCCAAAACCTTCCATATTTTTCATTTATCATTGGAACCGATTGCTGCCTTATTTTTAACATGCTTCTCTTATTGATCATTCCTTACCCCCCAAGTCAGTTCTCATATTTTTGGTGGTAGACTGTGCTGTGACTGCAATATTGATGCTCCCTTCTCCTTAGTCTGCTGCCCTCAAAGTCAACACAGCAGAAATCTCACACAATTTTAAAATAAAATTTACGTTGACATAATCTTGGCAAGACAATGGATTAATCAGAAATGTTCTTGGGACATGCAGTTCATGAGGACACTGATTGGCATACAGATACTTCTGTCCCCATTCCAGGATCCTCTCTGGATCCTCACATCAGTAAAAGAATGAATTTAGCTATCTATATCTCATAGTTCTAGTATGCATTACTAATAGTGCTCTGCTATCAGTAGTTTTGCCCAGATTGTTAATGCAGTGTGTTCTGATATGTTCAGACCACAGGTTGAAAAATCCGTTCAGACCACAGGTTGAAAAATCCAGATTTCTCAGATTAATACTTGGAATACCATGTGTAAATTTCTCTGTTATTTTATCATGAACTTCTCTAGCTAAAATGAAGCAATTCTCATACTAAAGCATAGCTTACACATTTTGGAAAAACAGTAAAAAGGAAGATGAAGAATAACAAAGTTAGCCATGGATTTATATTTCTTTTTAAAAATAAATTTTATTGAGTTTTGTAAACAATATAAATAATGACATGTAGGAACAAAACTTTGAATTTTCATTTAAAACTATGAAAGAAAAAGCTATATACTGTACTTAAAAATTAAACAATATATACTAAAAAGGGAAAGAAACTCAGAAAAAAACAGAGATCTAGAAAAAAGTAAATAATAGAAATAAAGGAAAACCACTATACAAGATACACTGTTTCTCTGGTATCAAACTAGTAATATATCTGTACACATAGTTACAATTCAGTTTTTGAATCATAAATTAATCCTATACCGTATCAAATCATACTATTTGATCTTATATTATGATCAATACAAAACCAGTTCAAAGGCTGAGAACTATCATATTTCATTTCAAAATTGGATACATGTGAATTCTTCCTGACATACATAATTGCCTTTTTGGCACAATTCAGCTAAAGCTCATTATAAATTAAAATAATTCCATATTTTTGGAATATAATTAATAATACATGGAGAACTTTTTACTTTTATTTCCTTACAAGAATGTGATTCACATTTATCTGTAGCATAAAAAGATAATAATGTTTTTTGAACATCTGGTAAAGTGTCCAATATAACAGAAAAACAATTAGATGAATTAAATGAATCACACTTAACATTTCTTAGAATCCAAGACCATGCAGTATAGGATATTTAACTTCCCTATTCAATATTTTTTGCATATTGTCTAAATTTATGTATTTAATATTTTAAAATTTTGATCATATTGAATTATTGATTTTGTTTTTATTAAGCCTTCAATACACTTACTCAATCTTAATATCAGACACTGCTACGGTATCATGTTCCAGCAAGGAACACAAGAAGTATGTTAGCTGTTCATATTGCCACCTAGTTAATTGTACTACTTTCATAATTTTTTAAAAGTTCCAAAATGATTAAAAGTAATTATTTTCTTCAAAATATGTTTATTCTGTATTTTTTAAATAAGTTTTGTTCCAAAACATTAATTTTTTATCAGAACCAACATGGAACTTTAATGTTTTTTCCAGTAACATCCAAATATATCTGACAACTTTACACAGTGGAAATGGATTTCTGTTTGAACCTAATTTAATATAATTAAATAAAAAGCTGTGACTAGTTTATTCTGGAGAAGAAATACTTCCTTAACTAGGATCACCCTTGTTATAGTAAATGTCAGCAAATGTGCATTTCAATCCTTGACTTGTTTTTAAACTCTACTGAATTTAATCGTACAATCAAAGGTAAATTTAGTTTAGTACCACAGCCTGGTATTATTGAAATATATCTTTCTATTTTAAACTGCATGTTGATATATATCAAATCTGCCATAGTTCATATTATATTTAGTCCCTATCATAGATTCTCTCAGCAGCTACAGCATGTTCTTTGTTTAAACTTTGGTAAGATATCCTACTGTTTATCATATATTTTGACTGCCACTAGTTGTTAGCAACTCAGTTAATTATTGAAATATAAGTAGAAATCATAACTACATTTAGAAAATACCAATTTCCCTAATGTTCAGTTGCAAAGTTCATTCACTTTCCATTCATTCTTCAACTCATTTTGTTTCACTTTCCATTCATTCTTCAACTCATTTTGTTTCATTGATTTGTAATAACCAGGATCATCATTTGATTCAAAAAGATTGCAAGGAGATCTCTTATCAAACAGAAAGTAACATGGAAGAAACTCTGTAAGAGAAAAATGAGAAGAAAATCAAAGAAAATTATGTCCTGATGTTATATCACAAAGTGAAATGATTGAACAGTTTTGACACCTGTAACTTTTAGTGCCTATAATCAGAAGAAATAAAGGAGGAAAAGATGAATCCTTCCTACATGTTTATAATAAAATAAATAATGGTTTGGAAAGGTAACCATATCTTCCCAAAGTTGTTTCTGTTTTTATTTTTTCAATTCCCTGCAAATCTTCACACAGTTAACTTCTTGTTATGCGAAGTTGGAAAATTATGTAATGATTTAATATGGTTGCATTATTATTTTGTAATTAAATCGTTTAAAATATTGTCATCAAAAACAATGATCAGAAAAGGAGAATGATCTTGTAGGGATAAATTGGCAGATGGGTGAACTGAACAATTGTCACTGAGCTCATCTTTTCATTGATTTCCTTCTGCAGATAGGATAACAAGCTAGTGAAACCACAACAAACTAAATATGATTGTGTCCTGGCTGATTGAGAAATACATGAAAAAGATACAGTTTTATGATATACTTACACTGCTCTTTTATGCCATTGTGGACACTTGCATCCTGGAACATGTAAAATCTCTGAATCTGGGAGTCGATTTATTGTCAGTTTTACCTTTTTTGGGGGGGAATTAAGAACAGTGATTATAGTATTGTATCTTACAGTTTATCTTGTACATTTTGTGTTAGTAAGATAATAAGCAATTGTTCAAATCCAAACTACGAATCAGCATGAATTTCTATAATAAACACTGGAGATGAGAAATGTATACAATTCTGATGAGTTAGGCCTGCAGCAGCAATGAATTTTCTTGCCAGACAGTTTTATGAAGCTGGGTATCATTAGCATCTTGATGGAGTCCATGAAAAATCTATTGGCAACAAAGTCCTGAAGTGAATAATTTCTAATGTTAGATAAAGAGAATTAGATGAAGAAAAGCCAGGAATTATCTCTGCCATATGAAATGAAATCATCTGTCAGAGTGATTTTAAAGCAGTGATAAATTTGTCTTGCAGGATGACAGGGGATATAAAAGAATGTTAGCTTGTTCCTTGCTACAAACAGAAACAAATCATAGGCCAGCTTGAGATGTATTTCTAGTTTTAAAAAAACAACAATCTATTTCAGTTTGCTGACCCTCCTTACCAGGAGTTAGAATATTCTGAATATTTCACAAAATCAGTTTATGTGTCATTGCTGATAATAGTGGTGGTATTTAAAAAGATTTAAGTTATTGAAAGAAACTAGTTTGACCAAAACAAAAAACAAAAAAACCACCTTCTAGTCTTTACTATGCTTGTTCATTGTCACTTTATTTTTAAGGTCAGGCTTAAGTTTAAAAAGGGACCATATAGCTAATGAAACCAAGTTGGAGAGGTGAATAGGGAGTGAAGGATGATACACGATCACTTATCATTTGGCTGAACATTTCTAATTGTGGATTAGCAATTTATAAGCGGATAGATGGGGCAAAATATCTAATGATAATTTTGCATTAAAATCTTCTATTGCTTAGTGCTAAGCTTTACCTCAATTGCTATGTCTTACCTCCTTTCTTCTGGATCTACTTATGAACCAAAATATTTCATCCATATCTTTGATATGCAAATCATTCACAGCCACTATATGATCTCCTTGATGAAATATGCATCCTAAACGACATGGGTCTTTCCACTGAGAAATGCTGCAGTAAATTAGAAAAGGGACAAACACCAGACATTTTAGACTTCTTATCTAACCTGATCTGGAAATGAACAGAGAAAACCACCTTAGGCCACAGTTTTAAGGGTTCATTCCCTTATTGTTGGCAATTTTTGCTGAAGTTGGTAGGATCTGATCATGTTGGATTTTCATTGCACAGCATATCTGGCTGGCTGGCATTATAAATATTAGAAAATGGAATGAATTTGAGAGCTGTTCATTTATTAGGACCAGGAAGAGCAATTAATTAGAAGTAAAATTGTTTGCAAGTGGGCAGTGGAAGGCTATTACTATATTAAAATATTCAGTACCAAGTTATTATACAGTCATATAAAATCTCTTGTGACCTTAATATCTTGCAGCACACTATAGGTTCCAAAAAGTAGCAGCAGAAAAGAGAACTAGTTGCTCAATGTATGAACTGGGAACAGCATTTGCTGTGAGTGTGTGTGAATGTGTGTGTGTGTATATCTGTGTGTGTGTGTTAATAAAAGAAGTTTGTCAGCCAAGAACAAATGGAAGGTTTATTATGCGAAGATTTAAAATGATTATGGATCCAGAAGTTGATTTATGTTCTATATCAATTAATTAATTAAAAACATCAGACATACATTTCTGAATTACTGAAAGAGTATCAGATATTAAACCTCATATTAGCCCTTTGAGGTAGACCAAGTTAGGAAACATGCTTCTCAAGAAATACTGACATTCTGCTATATTGATATAGACCAGTGTACTGTATATGCTGGCTGGAGGAATTCTGGGTGTTGGAAGTCCATGCATCTTAAAGTTCCTGAGGCTGAGAAATAGTGATTGAACATCTGACAGCGTTTTTCCTTTCCTACTTTTTATACCCAAGAAAATCAATGCAGAGTCACTTTCAATTTCTTTATAACAACTTTTTCACGTTATGTTAACTGTCACAATCCTAATGGAGAGCTTTGGATATTGCTAATCTCCTTTCCACTTTATTTTTTGGATCCTTCCTCCTTTTGCCAATCCCTGATATGATAGGCCAGTCATTGATACTTATAGGCTTCTTTGCCTGTCAACACCACAAAGTGGGTGGGGAAAGGGATATTCTTCAATATCCAAGCCTTCAATACCAAACATATAATTTACCATTTGGTTTGAGAAGAAAAGAAAATAGGTAAAACATGTGACACTAGAACAGACATGTCAAACTTGCAACATCACGTGATGTCGTACAACGTATCGGGATGGTTTTGCCATTGCCGGCAATGGGGTGGGCGCGGCTTCCAGATGACATGTCCGGCCCGCGGACGGCAGTTTGACACCCCTGCACTAGAAGCTGGCTATCATAATCAAATTTCCTATTTCATCTTGTTATTAACTGAAATCTGGAGGCAGCTGCTGGACTGATGGCAGATTCCACCTCCCCCCCCTGCTCTGCTCTCCACCTGTCCATCTTTTTGGTTATCATATTGATGTATTCTCCTTGTGTTCTTTTCCATTGTTTTATTTTTCTGTTATTTTATTTCTGTTCTGTTTACACTCCTTTCATTTTCTTCCTTTTTGTAAGCTAACTAGAGGATCCTTGTGACAAGCGAGGCAGCAAATAAATTTAACAAATAGATAGATAGATAGATAGATAGATAGATAGATAGATAGATAGATAGATAGATAGATAGATAGATAACCTTTATTGTTATTTTTTTCTTGTGGGCACAATGGCACACATGAAAAATGAAATTTAGTTTCTTCCTCTCAAAGTGTACACATACATAACACATTTAAAACATACTGTATGCAACATATGTATAGACATACACCCTTACATATAAGTAACATATAAAAAAAGGGAAACAGCATAGAACAAAGATGGTGGAAGACACTTCAGCAGAAGACAGCCGCCGCCCAAGGAATGGGGGAAAAAGAGAGCAGGCTAGGGTCAAGATGACGGCACCCAGTCTAGGGCCAGGAAGAAGCAGGGGGGTGACAACGCCTGGGAAGGGCAACAAAGCAGATTCTGGAATGCTTTAATTTGGAGCCCCACCCTAAGCAAGGAACATGGAATTCTTCCACTTTATTGGCTTATAACCCCGCCAGGCCTATGAATGACCTATAAATTATTAGTTATTAATCAGAAGTAGCATGGCAGTCTATGAATATAAGAATCTAAAGCTATAGGATCTTGATACTTTTATTAATGTATTTTTTCCCTACAGTCTTCTACTTGCAATGCAAGGTTAAGCAAGCAATGCAATATTGTTAAGAAGAAACTTCTTTGTTGCTTTATTTAATGTCTTCATTATTTGGAGAAAGATAGTGGTAGACAAAGGGTGACACCTTGTGGTTTACCAAGGCAGTAGAATTTAAAAAACTTTCCAGGTTTTCTGTTTGCTTTTTAAAATTTTACCCTAGGTCTCTATTGTGGGAATAATGACTAACCCTATATCAGGCCTCTGGCATTATTTTCTGCCACCTGAATTTGCTTTGATATTGATGATAAGATACTCAACAGCAACTGTGCCGTTGAAGCAAACCTTGACTGCACAGCTCTGTTCACTAATTTGGTCTCTTCATATGTATGTTCTCCCTGAGGCAAACACTTCAATTTCCTTTTATTAGTATCTATTCTGACTCTAGGAAATATAAATACAAACCACTGTTTACTACTGTATTGTTTTCAGAATTTAAAGCGAAGCGGTTTTGCACTTGAACAACTGTTCTCACCACGTTTTTACAAGTTAATTTTTGATCGCTAGAAAGATCTGTGAAATCTATTATAGATTTCTAAGATTCATCAAATGGTAGCTGGAGACATAAAATTAACTTATAAATAGCTGTTCAAATTAAAAGAGTTACAAATTAATTAAGAAAGAATTAAAATTAAAAGAGCTATTTCATGATTTTAAAAAGAATTTTTATAAGGCCCTTTGGCAAAAGTCTATGGAAAAACCTGACAGATTTTTGATAGTGTTGGAATGATCTAATCCAATTAATTGATTTTAGTTAATGGCGTTAACAATCTCAGCAGGTGGTGAGCACCTGATTGGCCTTTTCTGGATTTGAAAGTTAAATTAGGGGGGGTTGGGTCCAGGAAAAGAGATCTCAAAGGAATATCAGTGATGTATGACTGAGAAGTTGAGGGAAAAATACTTGGAAGATTGCAGTCATAAACTGTTTCCATAATACTGACAAAAAACAGCAGTGTGGACTCACTTTGAAAGTGACTTTGCTACTTTTAATAGTTAACCAACTGCACATTAATTAGTTGAAGCTGTCTTTTATGAAAGAATATTCAGTGATGAGAAGATGGCAGTACTAAAAATAACCGATGCATTTATTTTGGCCTGACAGCATATTAATTATGATAAAGCAATATATTTAGTTAAGCCAATCAATTAGTTAAGCTTATCAATCTTTGTTGAAAAACTGTAATTTGAATTTGATCATTTAGTTGGCTGATTCTTTTAAGAAGGCAAGTAGTTAACACATTCCTCACCTCCCAAAACAATTCAGCTGATTGTTTTTTAGAAATTCAAATAATAAATGCAGTAAATAATTAATAAAATATAAATAAAAGACTTTACCATATGCATCCAGAAGCTTCTACAAGTGTTAAGTAGGATTCAAGATTATTCTGGAGAAGGAGAATATCCACCTGCTCCAACTGGTTATCATCTGTGATTTTACTAAAAGAGAGAATGAAATTCAGAATGTAGGACTGTTGGATCAGAATATACACCATTGCAAGCTATTGCTATTTATGCTAATTCTTAAGATAGAAAACATATACTGTAAGCAAAATAGCAAGCTATACAGTTTTCTAGACTGGGCTGGGTAATACCCAGCCAGATATGGTTCAAATGTGAAGCAAACAGATTTGAATAATTCTTTAATTTTGCATATAGTTGAATTTCTGCCTCCTCTTCCATATAATTATATTTTTATTTAAAATCCTATCTTTCCAAATTTTAAACAGTATTAATATCTCTTTCTCCTCTTGGCTAGGGCAGGAATACAGGATGCTGTCAAACCAAATACAGATATACAATTGCACGTCACAACAAAAGAAAAGGCATCCAGTAATGGTAGCAGAAGTTTCAAAATCAAACTATTTTAGAGGGAAAAATTGGACCATTTTATTTCTCCTGTATCTATGCTTAATATGCAAATAAAGGAACAAATTTATGCTTTGGTGAATTCAATGAATAAGATGACGGAGAGATAAAGTTAAACATTACTTCCTGGTTCACATAATGGAACAACATGCCTTGCCTGTTGTACAACTTAAATTTTTTGTTTATTAACTACCAGTGCAATCTTTATTTAGAATTGGAACAATTTGACAAGATTGTATTTAACTCCAATTTAAATAAAACATTTCCTTTTACATCTTAACATTTTACAATAATGAAGGAAATGACTGTATTCAAAAGACATTCTTACCTGAGAATTATGGACAATTGAACCACAGATAAAAAGAAGACTTTGGGTGTTTTTTCCAATGGCTTTGGTTTTGCCATTTGTACATCCATCTGATTTTGGGGAAGGGTCACTAATTGATTATTGGCATCTTTTGGTTTTATTTTATCTTCTACCATTTCTGAAATTCTGAGGGGCAGATTATATTAACCTTAAAAGACGTTCATCAATCAGATCCCCAAAAATCTTACCTCTACACAATCAAATCAAGGGCAACACTTGAATGAAAACAGATCATGTAAACTTAAGAACAAATTTAGGATAATTCAGGTAAAATTTAGCTAGAAAATGTGATAGTTTATTCACTGACCTCATGGCCATGAGTCATAGATTTCTAAAGTCACTCTTTTGACGTAGGTTGAAACTACATTAAGTCAGTACACTTCGCATTTTGAAGACGCTGAGGTGTTTGGAAATAAACTTACTTAGGTTGCATTGTTCTGCTTTCTCTTGGGCCTTATAATTTTTTCCAAAATGGATAATTCTTTCTGAATTTCACATATTTAGTGATCCAGCTTTTTATTTGCTTCTTGTTCTAGCTCAAATAATTATGTGTGATTCCATGTTTTGAACAGTCATTTATGCCTTTAAGTCAGTGTTGACTCCTGGCAATTGCTTGGACAAGTCCCTACAGTTTTCTTGGCAACATTTTTGGAAGTGGTTTGCCATTGCCTGCTTCCTAAGGCTGAGAGAATGAGACTAGCCCCAGGCCACCCAGCAAACTCGTTCTCAGTTTGTCCTCTAAGAGCTCATTAAAGTGATTCCTGTATACCAGGAGTGTCAAACTGCCAGCCCGTGCGCTGGATGCATCATAGCGAAACTGCGCCCACCCCATTGGCAGCAATGGCAAAAAAGTCGCAATATGTCATGACACGTCACGTGATGTTGCGGGTTTGACACTCCTGCAGTATGCTGTATGCTGCTTGCTAAGACTGGAAGACTGAAATCAGCTCAAATTGAAAAAATGGAACAAATAGATATTGATAATGAATTAGATCTTCTATAATTTTGACATGTTGGCTGGGAACTCTTGGAAATGTACTTGCATTACCTCTGAAGAGCTTCAGGATGGAGACCCTTGTTTAATATATAGAAAATTTGGGAAAACTATTCAATGTGGAATTTCCAAAAAGTGTATTAGCTGCTTATAGCAAAACCAGCAAAACAAAACAATGTCTTGTTCCAGATTACTTCAAATATTGTTACTAATAAATTTTAAATGCTATGTTAGGCCATAATTCAATGAGGTAAGAATGAACTACAGCAAACATTGAGGTCACGTACTTCTCTTCTTATTTGACCAAAGGGGAAAAACTATTTTTTATTAGCAGTTTTTGGAGAGGCACATCTTGCTATGTCATTCTCATCAACAAAATGTAGTCAGTATTAAATAGAGATTGTTTAAAACAAGCTGATCTGAAATCCACTGGTAGCATCAGAATTGAAAATAAGAAATGGGTTGGCCTTAAGCTGTTTTGGCCATGTTAAACTTTGATTTGGTGTGACGTTTGAATTTGGCCACTGCATTATTTACAATTGGCTCATGTAGAAGTATAGCAAAAGAAAACAAAGTGTGTCACCAGCGCAGAAAGAGAATGGTAGTATACCTCTTTAGAAACTTATGATGAGTTAAATATGTGGTAAATATACAATTAGAATTATTGGTAATAATTACCATCATTCTGACTGTGCTAGTATTAATATCTGAAGTTAGATTTTACTTTTGGTACTGATTTTCAATCTTACTCCAATTTGAACTCAGGTGATACAGTTAATCAAATGTTTACATGCTGATAGTCCTTTGGAAATAAAGTTGGATATCAGTCAGATTGAATGTACATTTTCTGATGCAATAAAGATTAACTTAAAATAGAAAGAACAGACAAGAAGAACCTCTAGCACAGAAGTCTAAGATGACCCCTGGAGTTTTCCCCTACAGTCCTAAACTTCTTCCTCCTCTAAATCTTTGACCTATCTCCCAGCCCTCATGTTTTCAGAATTCTCATTCTCTCTCCCCTCCTGATTATTCACAACGATCAGTTAACCAATAGGTGAGTGCTGAGAGCAAATCATTCACAAATAATTTCTGAGTAGGGAGGGGGATTTATTTCGGTACAAGAAGAGAACCCAGAAGGAAGTGCTTTATGCCATTTTTTTTTCAGGGAGAAAAGACCAGAACGGGACACCTCCGCATGGTCAACTGGGAACAACCAGCTCTGGGCGGCCCCCTTACCACCACTATGTTGCCTCTGCCAACTCATTCTGCCAAATCATTGCAGGACAAGTCAACATGGGCAATTCACTGTGGGAACAACTCGCTGTAGGCACCTGGGACAACTTGCTGGGGTGCCAGATGGAGTCAGGTGAGCAGTCAGGTGAGCGAGCGAGTAAGGAGAGCTGAGTGGGCGGGCAGACGAATGTGTGGGCAGAGCACATAATGGTGGTGGCAACTAAGGGCTTCCCATTCTCCTATCCCTGCCACCACTGTTTACTCTGCCCACTTGCTCACTCACTCACTTACCCACCCAGCTCTTCTTTGGGGTGCCCGCAATGAGTTTTTCCCACAGTGAAAGGCCCATGTTGAGTTGTCCTGCAACGAACTGGCAGCAGTGAGTTGGCAGAGGTGATTTGGCAGTGGCGAAGGGGCTGCCCCTAATTGGCCACCCACAATAGGCCTGTCAGTTGTTCTAGACCCAAAAAGACTGTATTGTCCATATAGAGGACAACAGGTGCCAAGCACTTCCAATAGAACTACCAGATAGATAAATGATTGGAATTTCTGCCTTCTTATTGCCATTCTGGTTTTGAAGCCAACTCTGGTGGTCTTACCTTAAACATGCATAATTAGGAAAACTTTTAAAGTATTGTACTTATTGTTGACTTTGACTTTGCTACTCACATAAAAACAAATTGTAAAAGAAATGCATAAATATTTGTTTCAGGAGAGAAATATCTAATAGCTAGTATACTTACAAATCTTTCATGGACATGTATTCTTTACTGCTACTGAACTTTTCATTCTCTGAGATGCTATATTCTCCCATTCTCACCTCATCCGGCTTTGAAAATAAATTACATATACAATTAATAAATGTTATCTTATACACTATTTGTATACAAATATCATCAGCTAAACTTAACAGTTTCTAGATTTGGATTCCACTATTGATATACTCTGTCTGGCTAAAGCTAAAACTGTATCTTAGTAATGAAGCAAAATAAAATAGTTATTGCTTAGTAGTTAATTTAGTTTCTATAAAAATATCAGGACTGCTGAAAATCTTAGAATATGTTCAAATTGATCTAGACAATGGAATTACCCTTCAGATGACAAATGAGTGACAAAGAAGAA